GCTTGTGTGTGTGGGGGGTGGTGGTAGAAGATGGTCAAAAGATACCAACTTGCAGTTCTACAATAAAGAAGTCATGGAGATGCAGTTACCGCAACATACAGCACGGTGACCACAGCCAACAGTACTATATTGTATATTTGAAAGTGGCTAAGAGAGTAGGTCTTAAAAGTCCTCATCACAAGGAAAAAATGTAGCTACATGGTGACCATTTCACAATACACACAAATATCAAATCATTATGTTGTACGCCTGTAACTAATACAATATGTTCATTATATTTCGATTTAAAGACAATCAAGATATGGAGCGAGATACTCGAACAAAGATGTTATTTTAATGGAAAACTGGAAGCAAAGGCCCATCAGCCAACTAAACTTCGGGAAATCCCTGCCAGGGATGACGTAGAGTCACTGAAGATCGGGTTTAGTATTTACCAAGTCATGATCTTTGGTGGTGGTGCAGTGGGCATGGGTCTAACTTTTTCTTTGCATTTTTCCCAATTTTCTAGTCTGAACAGTATTGGTAATTAGAAAAAAAAATGATCAAATATACCTTTGCAAAATGGCTTATTTTACCATTTCAAACCTGTTCATCTAAAGTTCGACCTGCTGGTCACTTTAGTTACAATCACACCAAAATGTCACAGCCCCCACAGCATCTCCCTCTGGCCACCCCTCCCTTCGTCCTGAACGCACGAAGAGGGGTGGGTCTCAGGACAAGAGAATTCAGAGCTTTCAGCTGTCTGACAGCTTTTCCGGGCCCCACTTCTGACCTGGATCCTGGACATTGCTTTTTTTGTTTTGCTTTTATAGGTCCTCTGACAGTAATTTCCAGCCACTATTGGAAAACCATGGTTCTATCCCACTCTGCTCATCTTGCATACAGGACCCCTGAGGGCCAGAGGAGCTCAGAATGACCCCGAGGCAGAGGCGGGTCCAGGTCTCTGGATTCCTCTGATGGTTCTTCACACTTTAGAGGGCCAGTTAAGTCAAGGCTGGGGTGTTGTAGATTGATAGACTTGCAGTGCCCCAAATACTTCAAGTGGGAAAGAGGAGAGCAAAGAACTTCTAAAAGCAACCTATCTTTGATCCCCTCTTCAACCCAACCTTAGAACTATGTCTCAGCAAATAGTTATCAATAAGTATTTATTAAGCACAGTGCACTTTGTAAAGATTATCTCTAGTTTACTATGACGAGAAAAGACACCGCAAAGGCTAACTTAATGCAACAGTATTGAGTAAGCAAAGATGATAAAAATCAAAATACCATTACTATATCCAAAGCTGGCTCTACGCCAGAACAAATAAACACAATTTTAATGGGGCCTTTGCCCTCCTAGCCCTGTCCCAGAATCTCTGTCTCTTGCTCTTGGCTATACTGCCAAGAACACCCTCCAATAGTTACCCTTGCAGACCAGAAGCAATTTCTCTTCCTACCCAATCTCCTCGCTGCCCCCAACCAAGTTCTGACACTTCACATCTGCTCCATGAGACAGAGTAAGTGAAGCCATTGAATTTCTCTCTGGAGGATGGACAGTAGAAAAAATTCAGACTTGAAAGTCAAAAGATCTGGCTGTGTGGGCACTTGGCAAGCCAATAACACATTTAACCCTTCAGGACTCAAAACTCTGTGACGTTCATGACTATTGGAACATACCTGAGGTTCCATCTGACTTATTTCATGACAGCTTTGTACCAGCCAAGACCAGCTCTGATTTGTAGAAGGTGTAGTTAGTCTTTAAGCTAGCAGTGCGCAATGTGAAGAGAACTTGTAAAGGAAAGTCCTTATTCAATCATTTGTGTACTTGGCCTGTTTTAAGAATTAAATATAGAAAAGGTGGGAGCCGATAAAATCAGATTTGTTACAATCTAAGTCACTCAAATGAAGAAAACAACTTCTCTATCGTTTGAAGGGTCTAAATCAATGCCATAGCGCTTCCTGACTTCTAGGCTTTGTGGGAACATTTGATTTTCAATATTTACTCCTAAATTTTAAAGAAATCTTCGCTTTTTTGGTCTAGAGTCTTTAGCCCTCTCTTCATTTTTCCTGCTCCTGAGTGAATACGGTTGTGTTGGATGTGAAGGAGGAAACCCGTACCATCTGGCTGACAGAAGGCCCAGGGCAGCAAGAAGACACTTCTCCGCAAGAAATCCGTATCTTGCTTTAAAGGGCTGATGTTATGTTGCAATCTGCACCCATTCACTCACAAAATCCACTGAGCTCCCATGTGGCAGGCCATGAGGGTGGAGTCAGGGTGGGGGCTGGGGGGAATAAAGAGTACACCAGACATGCTTACAAATTTTTTGACCTTGCCTCCCACTGTAGGAGACTGGATCAGGGCCCCACACAAAGGGGTATTCATGCCCTGGCCAGGTGACTCAGCTGGTTGGAGTGTAGTCCCATACACCAAAAGGTTGTGGGTTCCATTCCTGACCAGGCAGGTACCTAGGTTTTGGGTTCTATTCCAGCTCAGGGCATGCACAGGAAGCAACTGGTTGACATTTCTTTCTCTCTCTCTCAAATCAATAGGTATACTCCCAGGGGAGGATTTTTAAAAAAAATAGTGTATTTGGACAGTGTGTTAAATGCTATAATGAAGAAGCACAAGAAAAAAGAGAACCTATAAAAGCGGGGTGAGAATGGAAGGTGAGCAAAGGTGGCTACCCTTGAGGAACCGACCTTTGGCAGTGAAGGATGAGTGGGGGTTATTTAGAAAAAGGACAGGCAGCGCAGGCAGGCCCCAGGCTGGGCAAGGGCCACAGGCCAAGGGGAAGGATAGCTGTTGCAGAAAGTTTCTTCAACTTTCCCCTCAGAGTCCTGCCAAGTCTCTGGGGCAGGCATGCAATCCTTTTCTTTTGGGAACTCACCTGTATGTGCAAATTAATCTTCCCAAGTCACTGGAAACCAACCCAACCTTTAAAAATATCTGGGAACCTCTCATTTATCAAATGCTTTCATGTTGTTTTCCTCCATCACACATCACCATGGTGATGCCTTATCATGAATTTCTAGCTCACTCTTACTTTTTCCTGTTCTACAGTGAGTGAGTTGTGTGTTAGAGGGGAAGTGGGAAACTCCGTCACTTGGTTCCGTGAATAATGAGGCTCTTTAAGCAACAAAAAGACACCGCTCTCTGCAAGAAATCTGCTGACACTGCTGTGAAAGGACAAGAGGATCTTTTTCCAGAATACATCACCAGGGGTGATGTTTAAAGCAGTTTGAAGTGCACCAGTGGAAAAATGCACTCTCCTTCAGCTTTCTGAATTAGGGACACGGAGCCTGGGCATCTATCCGCCCGTGTCAACAGTGGGCACACAGAAAATGCCCTGCCGCATTTCATGAAAGTGCATTGTCCTTGTCTCCCCACTCTGCCCCATTTTTAAAAAAGATTTTATTTATTTATTTTTAGAGAGGGAAGGGAAGGAGAAAGAGAGAGAGAGAAACATCAATGTGCGGTTGCTGGAGGCCGTGGCCTGCAACCCAGGCATGTGCCCTGACTGGGAATCGAACCTGCAACACTTTGGTTCACAGCCCAAGCTCAATCCACTGAGCTACACCAGCCAGGGCTGCCCCATTTTTAAGACAAGGCAAGAGGAAGGGCTGTCCCAAACTCATCTGAAAGTTCCTGGATATCATGCGGGATAGAGAAGGAAAGATAAAAGGAGAAAACAGTGTTATAGAGGAGGGTTTCTCTGCAGTGGAACACACGCACCCCCTTCCCCTCCCCCGCCACCACCTCCAATTCTGTAATTGTATGCACACAGCATTCCACTGCGCATAGAAGTCAGGTCCTCAGATACTAGAAATCGACACAAAAATAAATGTCACCTTCCTGTTACCAAAACTTTCAAGGAAAAAAAAAAATGTGGCTTCCTCCATGGCTCCCCCCAGCCCAGCCCCGCCCCGCCCCAAAGGAGAGAACTGGAATTGTTAATACAGTGCTTCTGTCTGCTGGGCCACACTTTTCACCTCCCTCAGGGAGAGGGCAGGGAGGTGCCCAGGGAATCTCACTGCGGCGGCGGAGAGCCCTCCCTCCCAGGAGCAGCCCTCCTCCCCGGCAGACAGAAGCCCTGGCACGTTAGCCTCCGCAGCCTGTCTGGCTGCTCCCTCCCGCCCAGAGTCCCTGTGCACTGCGACAACCCACGCGGGCTTCCCAGAGCCGCAGTGGGTTGTGTAACCGCACTCGGAACACCTAGAGGGGAGCGTGGGGAGCTTCCCTGCTGATCGCATCTGATAAGAGTCACTGGTGCCAGTCCATACGAGTCCCACCAGCCGGGAGGCGCCCCCCCCACCCGACCCCGCCCGCAGCTCTGGGGAACGGGGAGAATGAAGCCCTGTTAGGACCTCATTTCTGGGGGCAGAGGGGGGCGGCCAGCGGGAGGGGGAGGAGCGGGCAGTGTGTGGAAACCTTTCCAGGAGCAACATTTAAACCCGAAGTTCCGTCCTCAGAGCTGGAGATGCACAAAGGCGAGGGGCACATTGAGCCCCGCTACACCCCGCTAATGTGGATCAGGAAAGGGGTGGGGGTGGGGTGGGGCGGAAACTCATGAGTCCTGGGGGAGGTCTCAGAATTCCCCCCGGGGAAGCCCGTCATGGAAATGCCAAGGACATCTCCTCTCCGTTTTTCAATTACGTAACGCCTACCCATTCGGGAGAGGATACATGCACACAAATTTAACTTCTTATGAAGGTAGAAAGTGTCTAAATAGACTCCATTGAAAGCTCTGGGGGCATCTGAAGTCGGACTAGACCTGGCTGCTACCTGGCAGCGTTAAAGCGGGGCATCCTGGTGACCGGACGCCCCCCGCCCCAGGCCCCCTCCCCCCTGCCCACCGCGCCAGAAGCCGGGTCCCTGGGGGGCAGGCGCCCTGTGCGCCCGGCAGGCTCCTCGCTCGCGCGCGCGCCTCCGCGTCGCGGAGTCACCTGGACCAGCGAGTCCGCAGGAAGCGGAGCGCGCTGCCCTCTCCCCCCACACCCACGCACACCTGGCCCGCGGTTACCTGCGGGGCCTGGACTCCGCGCAGCCCATTGGCCGGTCCCCCGCCGCCCTTGTCGTTGGCCGCGAGGTGGTGACCGACCCCGGGAGCCCGCGCCACGCCGTCCGCGAGGCCGGCGCTGTTCTCCCGGGGGGCTTCCTCCGGGCCCGGGAAGAGCCCGCAGCTGCGCTGGAAGCGGGCGACGAGCTGGGAATCCTGCAGGCTCCACAGCAGCTCGGCCATGGTGCGCCCCGGACGCCGCTGCCGCTGCCACTGCCGCTGCCACTGCCACTGCCACCGCCGCGCCAGGGCCCTCTGCTCTCGCTGTCCCTCGCCCGAGCACCAGCCGGCCCAGCACCGGGGGGAGGAGGGCGGGCGGGGCCCCGAGAGCCCGCCAACAGGTGCGCCGCTTCGGTCCTAACGCCCGCCCCCGCCCGGGAGCTGGGGAGCCCAGGTGTGCGCCTCCACCCTTCTCCCCGCACGTCGGCCCGCCTTTCCTCCGCCTCCGGCTCCGGCGCTACCCCGAGTCCGTCCGGTCCGGGCTGGGCTGGGCGGAGGAGCACAGGTGTCTACACCGCCCCTCTCCCCGCGCGACCGCGCCTCCACCCACCACTCCAGGCGGGCGCAGACGTGCCACCTAATGGGGAGCGGCGGAGCACGTGGGAACCTGCGGGAGTCCGACCTGCTCGGACTGCGGGCTGCCGCCGTCGTCACCTGCCTTTCACTCCCGCGCCCCAGGCGAGATCAGAATTCCGCCTCCGCCCCCCACCCCCGCCCCGAAGCCAGCCCCCTGCTTTCGCCCTGGACAGCTTTAGACGAGTCAAGTCCTGCAGGGGAACCCCCCCAAGTTCGTCTCACACTCTGCGTGATGCGACTTCTCGCCAAGGGCCGAACTTCCTCGACCTCGCTCGAGAGCACGGGAGACTGAAAGTGACCCTGAGTCATCCTCCGCGTCCCTGTGTCCCTGACCTTGTGGTTTGGCAACTGGGGAAACTCTTTTAAAAGCATAGGTACAAAAATGTGATTCTCTCTCGGTTTTCTGCTTTGAGAAAGATGACGCTTGCCCCCTCCTTCTCCTTATTTCCCTTCTCTGCCTCTATTTGCCCCATGGAGCAGGGAGGACGGAGCGAGATCTTTCGGGACCTCTAGACCCAAAGAGAGCAAGGTGCTGAAGGACTGGGTGGTGATTTGCCACCCCGCGGCACCTCCGCCTGCTCTAAGCATCTCTGCAGAGCAGCGAAGGACAGGGCCCGCGGGGCCACATTGGTGTGCCCTCCTGCATCCAGAATCTGTTTCCAGTGGCGCTTAGGTCCCGCCTAAGGAAGGGCCTCTGCTCTTTCTTTAAAGATTTTATTTATTTATTTATTTATTTTTAGAGGGGGAAGGGAGGGAGAAAGAGGGAGAGAGAGAAACATCAATGTGCAGTTGCTGGGGGCTGTGGCCTGCAACCCAGGCATGTGCCCTGACTGAGGACCGAACCTGCGACACTTTGGTCTGCAGCCTGCGCTCAATCCACTGAGCTACGCCAGCCAGGGCTGCTCTTTCTCACGAGTGAGAGGCAGCAGTTCAGGTGCACCCAGCTGATCGCCCAGCAGCAGAAGTGCAACTCAATCCTTCTGTCCTCTGGTCCGCAGCAGAAGGCTGCCCGTTTCCGGTCTCCTGTTCCAAGGCTACGAAGCATTTGGTTACACAAATGACTGTCAACAAATGCCTGCCACTACTTTGTTTGCTGAGTTGTGCTTTCAGTCGAGGAAGTCTCTGGAATGTAGCTTTCAAGGATGATTGGGTCTCCCTTATGCCTTAGTTTGCGCTCTCGTTGCCAACCCTGTCTGGAGGGCAAGATCAGGGAGGCAGACAGAGCAATGGAACTCTTAGGAGGTACCCTTTTCTACTTAATAGACAGAAGCAGCACAGAGCTGCTGTCCCCACCCAGCTGGGTCATACCCAGGTGTCCAGTCCTGGAAAGAAGGCTCCTCTTGGCATTGCGGCCATCATTTACGGTCACTGGGACCAAACCCTGTGCTTTCATTGTGAAAGCTGGAGTTGTAGTAGGTCAGGACCTGTTCCTTATCTGTGTTGAAGAAACATGTTCTGCCATAAATTCACTTGAGTGACTGTGTCTCTCAAATTTGATCTTCAATTTTTCTTTCTCACAATTGGGGAGGGGGAAGACAAAGCAGCACATGGTACATGCAGCATAAGGCCAAAGAATTGTAATATTCAGACAATGCATTTTATCCCCTTGGAAGAGCAGGTACATCTAGCTGCTAGTGGCTGTTGGCTCAATTTCTTTCTGTGAGAAAACAATAATCCTCACTTCTTATCTTTCTTATAAGGCTGTTGTGTGCGGAGGCCCTTGGCTCATGGCAGTATCACCCCAGTCTCTTCCTCTGTTATCACATAGCCTCCCTGTGTGACCCTGTGTCCAAACCTCACTCTTCTAAGGACAGACACCAGTCATCGGATAAGGGTCCACTCTAATCCAGTATGACCTCATTGTGACGTGATGGCATCTGCAAAAACTCTATTTCTGAATAAGGCCACATTCCCAGGTTCTGGATAGACGTGAGTGTTGGGGGACACTCTTCAACCCAGTGAGAGTACTCGCTCCATGCCAAATACATGCCTTGTGCTTTCGGAGCATGGCTAACTGAGTCACTGTATCTCCTCCCAACAGCTCTATGAAGGAGCCACTCATCATCTGTATATTTGAAAATATATACATAGCACCAGGCACTATTCTAGGTTTAGGCCTACATCAGTCTAACATATAGCCCCAGCAGGCATGGCTCAGTTGGTTGGACATGATCCCAAAAAGCAAAAGGTCACCGGTTTGATTCCTGGTCAGGGCAGTTGCCTGAGTTGCAGGTTTGGCCCCTGGTTGGGGCACATATGAGAGGCAACAGATTGATGTTTTTCTCCTTCCCTTTCTCCCTCCATTCCCTCTATCTAAAAATAAATAAACAAAGTCTTAAAAAGAAAAAGAGCCCCTCAATCATGCAACCTATGTTTTAGTAGGGGAGGCAGATAGCAGGAAATCCAATAAACATGTATTTTTAGGGAGTGTTCTGGAGAGAGAAGAGCATTGTGCATGGTGTAGTAGGGACATGATATATTTAGGTAATGTGGCATATTTACTCCAAGAAGAGGATGTTTGTGCGGAGACCTGGAGAAAAGAAGGACTTTGCCTTATCAAGATCAGGAAGTTCCAGACAGAGGAAATTGTAGTTGTAGAGGCCTTCAGTCAGGCCCAAGGTCATCCTGTTGGAGGAACCAGTTGGGAGGCCAGCATGGCTGGAGAGATTGGGGGGCAGGGGTAGACTTGGGAGAGGAGGGCAGAGGCTAGACCAAGTAGGGCCAGATAGGCTACAATAGAAAGAAATCTTCTCATTTTCCAGATGAGAAAACTGAGGCTGAGAGATAGGAAATTTACCCAAAACCACACAGGATAGCTTTTGGAGGGTGATTTCAGCCAGGTCTGTCTGACTCCAATACTTGTTCTCTTTGTTACTAAAGTACGTTCTATTTCCAGAATTAATCTTCATTCTTGACTTTTGTGTTGAAAATTATTCCCAGTGTGCAGTAACTGCTCAATAAATACTGAGTCAATGAACATTGTTCTAGACTAAGTAAAATCTCACATTTTAAAATGTTTTCAGAGTGAACGACTCATTTTTAAATTGTCCCATGTAGATTCTACAGCCACCTTCGGAAGCAAGTAGTTGTATCTCCAATCTGTAAAGGAGAAGAACAGAGGCTCTGAGATGCGAGGTGATTTTTCCCAAAGCGACGGAATGTGCTAGGTACTTTCTGTGGGGTCTGCCATCTTTACTCTGCTCTCATGGGAGAATGCCCTTCCTCCCCCACCCCCTGCCTTCCCCAGGGGATGGCGCAGGGATGGGGGAGGAGTTTGGCAGCCAAGTTCAAGCCCTCAGCCAAGGCTAATTGGCCCTTGGCTGGACACCTGACCAAATTTGGACTCATCAAAAGCGCTCTCTGTGAGAATTTGGATTCAAAGACCCCAGTAAGTATTTGTTAAACCAGAGGGGAAATTCTAAAACTGGAGACCGCGCTCTGGTGCAGACAACTGTGCCATATGAGGGAGGAGTGCAGCAGATGGACGGAGAAGTCAGGCAAGGACAGCGAAGGACTCTGCAGAGGCAGCTCTGCACTGCCTGGCTCCAGTCACTGCGGCTTTCTTCCTGCCCTGGGGTCCTGAGTTACCCTCGACTGCTTGGTAACAATTCCGCCCCCCCCCCCCGCCCCCCACCCAGCTTCTGTAACTTGTGGATAGAAGAGGCCTAGCTCAGCCAGCCAGGCATTGGCAGGACATGAAAACTGAGACCCAGAAACCTGAGCAGCTTCCCACCTTTCTGTCACTGTCCCAGGATCACCAAAGCCGCAGCCACCTCTTGCTGCTGGAGACAGACATCCTCTTGCTTCCATGGAAACTACTGACTCCTACCTGCCCCAGCCCCTTGGGGTATTGGAGGGGGCTGCAGAGTCCAGATTTCCTAAGAGATCCTGGAACTCGGAGTGAAACTATGAAGAATATTTCACCTCACGATGAATCAATCCAATTGCTTCCTAGGCTTTGCTGGAAATCTAGTCACTTTGTAAGGGTGAGTCATTCTGAGACCCAAGAAAACCCAGGGCAGATAACTGTTTCAAAATTTATCAACTAGTATATATGAATTTGGTTACTGGAAGATTTTTAATTAATGCTAATTTGTATCTGTGCAAGTAAAATACCCGAGGATTTAGTAGCTTTAGCAGATTAGAGGTATATCAAATTGTTGATAAATTGATCAGAGCTCCAGGATCCATGCATTATGCAGTTGACTGAAATTTTGGAATGCAAAACATAAGACTCACTCTGTATTGTTCAAGTGGAAATCTCTTTCTTCTCTTTCTTCTCTCTAACTAATGAAAAACATTATTTTCTATATGGGCATTTTCAATAAATCATGAAACGTAATAACAACATTTTCTTTTCAGAGGAGGAAAAAATCCCTCTTGGATTAAGAAAAAAATTTTTTTTATTATTATTATTGGTTATATACAGTTTTCTCCTTTTTACTCCCAATCAAGAAAACAAAAACAAAAAAACAATTGCAGGTGATGTTCCTGCTAACGGGAACGGCAGGAAGGAAAACAATGAAAGAAAGACCAGAGTTTGGATTTCCCCGCAGCAAACTTTCTAGGAATGGCCCAGTTTGCTTGCTCTCACAACCATGGAGATTGGTGAAGAGTTTGCTTTCCAGCTGGACTTCTTGGTGTGAATCCAGTTGAGTTAAATCATATGAAACCAAATAGTTTCCTCCAGGGAGGACTGATGGGTTTGACCATGTCGTGAGGAACATTTTAGAGTAGAGCCAGCTGCACCTCACTAAAGAGCTCAGGGGAGGGGCGAGCTCTCCTGCCAGCCAACTTTTAAAAGTAAGTCCTTCTCTTTCTTTGGCTTGTGCTCTGATAAAACATCTAAACATC